ATTTTTCTGACTGTGAAGTGGGGAGAGACGTCTTAGTATCCATGGCCTCTCCAGCTCTTTGTAGGTTCTGGTCTGGGTTGTGGGGACTGGGGAGCTGGGCTCTACCACCCCTCCTATGAGTAGCTTTATCCAGCCCCGTTTTTGCTGCTTCCAGGGCCTCCACCTTCAAGGCCCCACGGGGCTGTCCATCCATGGCTCTCCCTAAGGAAGGGGCTTAATGCATGTGCCTGTCCCCCTCCGACCCAGCTGTTTTTAATGAAACCAAAAAAAAAACAGACTTGATCCCGGCAGGACTGTGGTGCAGAGCCCCAGCCTGCCCACCAGCCCCAAGGTCTCAGGAGCTTTAGGGAGAAGAGTGTTGGCAGGGCTGGAGCGCACCTCGGGCCTCCGTGGTTTCTGCGTCCCTGTGGTGCCAGTGCCTCTGGGCAGTGCAGGTGGCTGCTGGGCCCAGCCACGACCTCCACTGTGGCTCAGCAACCTAGTTATTTTATTTATGTGGGGCCATGCAGGCGTGGGCCCACTGCTTGTCCGTCCTGTTTCTCTTATTTATTGAAACTCGCTGTTGCCCTATCCTTGTGTCTCCATCCCCTTCCATTTGTTGAATAATAAAAGGTGGGAAAGTGCTGTCACGAGGAGCTCCTTTTCTCTGCCCTTCCCAGCTTGTCTACCTGTTCCACGTGTGCCTGTCAAGCCCTCTCTCTCCTGTGCTGGGCACTGTGACCGGCTGCCTTCCCCTCGCAGCTCCCGTGCCTCGGCAGTGGGGAAAGCAGGCCCAGAGGAGAGCCCTCACCTCATCTGGTTCTCACCAAAGCTCCTAGCTATAGGCAGGGCTGTCCCACAGAAATAGCATGAGCCACATATGTGACTTTAAATTTTCTGACAACCATATTTCAAAAAGTAAAAAAGCAGGTGAATTTAATTTTATATTTAACCCAGTCTATCCAAAATATTTTCATTTCAATATAAAATCAGTATAAAAATTGTGAATGAGCTTTTTTGCTTTTGCCTTGAAATCTGGAGTGTATCTGACACATCTTGATTAGAACTCGAATATTTTAAGGGTTCCGTAGCCACACGGCCAGTGCAGCATCGGGGAGTGTAGCTGTGTGGAGCCCCGGAGGTGAATGAGCATGAGGAAGACACGTGGGCCAGGGAATGTGTTCCACTGAGAGGGACAGCATAGCAAAGCCCGGCACCAACACATGGTGGGCACCTCAGCCTTAGGCCAAGATGCTGGGGAACCTCCGAAGCATTCAGCTCCTGCCTGGCATGTGTGGAGAGGAGAGGAGCCACAGGAGCAGGTGCCACACCCAGGCAAGAGATGGAGAGTCTCCATTGAAGATTCCTAGGGCAAGCTTCCAACCTGGCCCACAGGCCGCATGTGGCCCAGGACAGCTTTGAATAGGGCCTAACACAAATTCATAAACTTTCTTAAAACATTGAGATTGTTTTTGCTTTTCCTTTTCAGTTCATCAGCTATTGGTAGTGTTAATGTGTGGCCCAAGACAATTCTTGCACTGTGGCCCAGAGAAACCAAAAGATTGGACACCCCTGTGCCAGGGTTTGGTAATGGGAAATGGGTCAGGGGCTTAGGGCCAGCTGGGTGGGACAACAGGAGCAGTCCTGGGGGCACCTGTGACACAGCCATGGAGGACGTCCTGCAGCATCTAGATGTGAAGGCCCGGAGCTCTCAGGAGACAGACCTGGAGACAAGAAGGCCTACAGGCACTCAGGTGGGTGTTTTGACCAGGACTGGGCTAGGAGGAAACATGGCCTGGGGACAGGGCTGGGGGCAGATGCCTGGGCTCCTGCTGCCCCAGCATGGCCGCCCCATAGCTGCCCTGTGCAGGCCCTACAGAGAAGGCACTGCCAGGGAGGCAGGAAGGAAACCAGGGAGGACAGTGTCCTGGCAGCCAGGGGAGGGGGTGGGAGCAGGGTAGGCTGCAAGGCCAGGTGCTGCTGGGGGTGGGGACTGCTGTGCGCCCTGGTGAGTGGCACAGGAACTTGGTGGGATTCGTCTCAAGGGAGGGGTGAGACCAGGGCCAGGTCCAGGTGGATTGAGGGAGACGGCTCCCTGCCGAAACCTGACACAGGCCATGGCTGGGTGGGGCCTTATGCTCTGGGGAGAGATGATTTTTAGTTAATTTGGGGTTTTATTGGTGTTTGGTGTGTTGTTTAAAGATGGAATAGAGGGACACTTTTAAACTAATGGCCTCAAGGAGAAGCTGAAGAACAAGAGTGACACTTGTTGGCACCTAGGGAGGTGTGGAGAGGACCAGCCTCTGGGGGTCCCAGGCCTGCACAGGCCATGCTGGGGCTGCAGGAGGCTTGGCTTCACAGAGGGCAGAGGCCTTTCTCCTGAGCAGAAGCCATGTTGGGGGCCTGGCCTAGTGGCTGCAGAGAAAACTGCGTCGGGCAGATGTGCTTTGGGATTCAACATCTCCTTGGGTACCTAGGGTGCAGGCTTCTCTCTCTGAGGCTTCTCAAGTGGGCAGGAAGGGGAGAGAACACTTCTGAGGATCTTGATGTTTTACCTGTACCAGGAGAGGGGACAGAGACTGGACATCAGGAAGGATGTTCTGGAACAGCAAAGGATGCCAAAGTGTAGGACAGGGTGTGCGTTGTAGGGGACTAGCAGGCATCACCAGTGTACCCAAGGAAGTATTTCCAGTGGCTACCAGAGTGTACTTGGAGTCCCTGTTTACTGGCTGTTCAGCCCCACCTCGGTCTGGCGTCTCCTCGGCGTCCTTCCCGCTGGGCTGTGGGGTTTGGATACCCTCTCTGCACCCTGCCCGTCCCTCCTGGGGAGAGGCACATACACATGCAAGCCCAGGGTGCTGAGGCTGAGTACAGGCTTCCAGGCCAGGGCTTATAAGTGCCATGCTCCCCTCCAGACTCCCCTCCCCAATTTTCTGCTTGCTTGAAAGGTGTGGCCCTGGTCTGTCTTTCTTCACCTGTCCCTTGGGGTGTTGAGGCTAGCTTGCAAGAGTGGGATGAAGAGCTGAGGCCTCAAGTAGGAGTGTGTCTGATGCCATTGGTCTTCAGGGCCCACACCCTCACCTGGAAGCTTTTCTGGCTTGCTCCATCCAAATCCTTCAAGTTTTGTCAGCTCTTGAGCTCAAGAGGCCCACGCAGAGGTGGGAGCTAGAGGACAGGGTGGGGTTCTGGGCTGACCAGTGAGGGGTAGAGTTCTGAGCTTGACCTCTGTGCTCCATCCCTCTTCCCCATGAGCTGGAATGGTAGGGGCTGGGACCCATGTCTCTACCTCCCTTCCTGCTTCTGGCCCTCAGCTCTGCCACTATGGCCTGGAGCTAGGCCTCTAGAAGAAAATCCCTTCCTGCACCAGAGAAACCGACTATGGTGACACAGCCCCGACAATGCTTGTGGCCAGAGCTGTCCCCTTGGACACGGTAGGTGGGTTTCATATTGGGTTAAGGACCGTAAGGGAGGCTGGGTGGAGGCACAGGATGAGATCTGGTGAGAAGCATTAGAGAGTAAGGAGGTCTAAGTTTTCATTTCAGTTGCCATGTGAGCCAAGCTATTTGGCCTGTTTCCTCTCTGGGTGAGGAGGCTAAGTTCTTAGAGGTATAACTATGGGCACATGGAGCATGAGCTGTATGGACCTGGCCCTGGGAAGAAATGGTAGACGGATAACCCAGGGAGAGAAGCCTGGGCCTGGACTAGGCAATGGCTTTACCCAGAAGGGGGAGATAAGAGGTTCAGTGTTTAGAGGGCAAAACTGACAGCACTTGATGGGACTGCTTTGGATGAAGGCGCCAGAGCCTCCCTCAACTGTCCTTTTTCTGTAACCACAAACCACCAAGTCCCCCTTTGTCTCCCATCTGACAAATCTACCTTTTAAGAAAGCTCAGGGGACCGGGTTCAGTGGCTCACACCTGTAATCCCAGCACTTTGGGAGGCTGAAGCAGGCAGATCACTTGAGCCCAAGAGTTCAAGACCAGCTTGGGCAAAATGGTAAAACCCCATCTCTTAAAAAAAAAAAGGCCGGGCGCGGTGTCTCAAGCCTGTAATCCCAGCACTTTGGGAGGCCGAGGCCGGTGGATCACGAGGTCAAGAGATCGAGACCATCCTGGTCAACATGGTGAAACCCCGTCTCTACCAAAAATACAAAAAATTAGCTGGGCATGGTGGTGCGTGCCTGTAATCCCAGCTGCTCAGGAGGCTGAGGCAGGAGAATTGCCTGAACCCAGGAGGCGGAGGTTGCAGTGAGCCGAGATCGCGCCATTGCACTCCAGCCTGGGTAACAAGAGTGAAACTCCATCTCAAAAAAAAAAAAAGGCAAAAATTAGCTGGGATTAGTGGTGTGTACTTGTAGTCCCAGCTACATAGGAAGCTGAGGTGGGAGGATCACTTGAGCCCACGAGGTAGAGGTTGCAGAGAGCTGAGATTGTGCCACTGCACTGCGGCCTGGTGAGACTGTCTTAAAAAAAAAACCTCAGGCCTTGATGGGCAGAACATGGGGCTTGGTGCGTGGGCTATGGAGCCAGACCAAGTGCCAAATGTGAGTTCTAACTCTGCCCCTCACCAGCTCTGTACCCTCGGCCAACGTACTTACCCTCCTCAGCTTGCCCATCTAAGATGGCACCAACAGGGCTCACCTCACATGTGTTGTGAGGACTGTATGCCTTAACAAATATGAGCAGCAGGCGTCAGCCACACAGTAGGCACTCGATAGATGTAAGCTTTATTGAGCAGACAGCTCAATTGGTTTCAACTCTGAATGGCCTCACTGTGCTTCCACATCACACACTTAGGGTAGGTGCAGAAGTTGCCACTTCATAGCTCCCCAGCAGCTGTAAAGTGGGTCCACCCTTAAGGCAGACCCCTGTCAGATGAGCTATGAGATGTACCTTAGGTATTTCTTGACGCTGAGAACAAGTTTAGCATCAACTTGGGGAGAAGCCCAACGGACTCACTGTCCCGGGGACAGTCCTCTGTGCCTCCCTCCCCAAGAACCACTCAGTCTAATCACCTAAGACTTTTTTTTGGGAAACTTTTTTTTTAATAGTTATTGAGTGTTCTACAGCTTACAGTAAATATCATAGTTACAAATTCTTGGCTTCAATCTTTCAGAGTGATCACTGTCTGATCTTCAAAACATAAAATCCCAAAAGAATCCAAAACAACAAAACAAAACCAGATTTACACTTCATACACACAAGCGAGGCCATGGGGCTTTCCAATCTTTACACTCTGGAGTGTGTTTTGAAAACACCTATAAATTCTTTGATCAAACTACTTGGAAGACACTGGTCAAAGGTTTATTATTATTATTTTAAATGTTTTATTTCTTTTTAAAATGTGAGTTCCAATAAAATTTAAAAATTAGATTCCAACCTGTAGATTAAAATGAATTAAAAAATACAAAATCATATACAACGCTCTCTTCACAGGGATGTTACATGCCATGAGAACAGGTTTCTCTGTCATGTGATATGAAACAGGGAAGCAGATGCCCTGAAGTCAGGATGGGGACAGGCCCTTGGGCCTTTAGAGATCATTACAGACAACTCTAAGTTGCTAGAGGCCTGGCCTTGCCTCCCCCTGGGTAAGGAGGAGCTTGAGTCACACCATAGATCCAGACTATCTGGCTGACCCCAGGAGGTCGTCTCTGGGACAGTCCCCACTCTTAGTCTCTTGACTCTTAGGCCTGAGGAGAAAGGCTGGGGTCTGGAGATGCTGGTCTTGCTGGGGTGAGGCCCAAAGCTGATTTCAGCCATTTCATTCCTATGGGCTGGTACGTCTCTGCAAAGCCGTTATATATGTTCTCTTCAGGAAGGAAATGGGTAGAGAACCTCACTACCATAGCAAGGATACACAGGGACTATCCATGTGGCCATAGGGAAACAAGTACTGTCTTTTCCCTTTCTGGCTTTGTGGCAGCCAGTCCCTACTCCTGTGTGCCTCAGTTGGCCTTTGGGTTGGACTCAACAGCATGCACAACAGAAGACATCCACTGGAGAAACTGAGGGTCTGGGACCCCAGTCTGGCTTAGGCAGGGCTGGCCATGGAGTGTTGAAGCTGGCCTGCCAGGAATTTTGAAGGCTGGACCCTAGAACTATATAATGCTTAATCTAAGAAACAAGGAGTTTTCTAGGAGAGGGGCAGACGGATGAGTACGGGACAAACCCTGCAGCCCACCTGGCATGCCTGCCTGCGTGCTCAGAGGTTCTGGTGTGGAATCCCATCAGTTAGTCTGGCCGTTTTTCTTCAGCTCTGTGGGTGGTCCCACTGGCCCATTCTACTACTGTGCCCTCCAGATCCCCAAGCTTGGCAAGCAGCTGGGGCTGCACAGCCAGTAGTGATTTGGGAGAATATAGGATAGAAAAGCAGACTTCCATATATTTTCATTAAACTGCAATTGAAGAAGAATTATGATATAGATGCTGATAGAAAGCTCACAGGGCCCAGAATGGGGCTCATTGCCTCTGGCCACAGAACAGAGCTGAGGAATTGGATATGGAGGCTCTGGGGCTGGCTTAGCCAGTGCCTCACTGGAAACATGGATGAGTCCTATCTGTATGATGAGCCAAAACTTGTCCTACTTTTCTACTTTAGGTGATTCCTTTCTGAAGCCCATCAGAACAAAACAAGGCCTTCAAAAGGACCCCCAGATCTCTGGGAGCGAGGTACCTCAAATTTGCAACAATTTGGGTGGCCAGGGGTAAGGATGCACAGAGTCTGGTTCTGTTCCTCACCCAGGGGAAAAGCAAGCCGAGGGACCTCAGTCCACATGCTTTTGGCCAAGTCTACGCCACATCTGCTTGAAGTACCAAATCACTGGGTCTGGACAGTGGGCATGCTCTCAGGTTAGGAAGGCAGGTGTGCAGGCTTACCAAGGACATGGGCCTCTCAACAGAAAGATGCCTCAAGCTGTCCTTGAACATGTCTTCGGTCCTGGCCACTGTGACCCCCAAACTGTTTTGTCCAAGATAGGCCTTTAATTTGCAAATTCTTGTTGTCTTTGTGCTGCCAGCTAGATGTGCCTCTGTGTCCCCAGGACCCATTACAGGTCCTGGCCCAAAGCAGTTCATACAAATCTGCTCAGCTCAGAGGACTAGGCTTCCCTGGTCTCCGTAAGTATAGGTAGCCCCTCCCTTCATGCTTGCCAAGACGCCCAGCAGGTGGCAGCAGAAAGAGCAGAGGGTCTGAAGAATCACAAGCTGTGTAACCCTTTAGCAAGTCTCAAGCCTTCTGAGCCTTAGTTTTCTTCATCTATAAAATGGGGGACTTTGGCAACCAATGTCAAAGCACTTTGCATACCAAAAAAAGCTCCGGACAGGTGTGTCCCTACTAAATATTCAGGAAAGGGGATATACATTTTAGGGTCATTTGCCAGGTAAGAAAGAACAGCAACTGTCCTATCTCATGAGGAAGAAATTAAATATGCATTTTTTTTCAAAACACGGCAAATGATTGTTTCAGGCTTTCACTATTTGCAGGCAATCCAGCTCCCACACTCAAACTTCCTTGGCTCCAGGCCAGTGAGGAGACAGTATCAGGTAGAAGTAGAGGAATTCAAAAGGGTTGGCTGGTGACTGGAACCATCTGTACCCCTGATCCTGGCCACAGGTGTTGCACCTGGGGAGAGGCAGTGGCATGAGGAGAAAGGGGTTTGCATGCTGGTGCCAGTGCTGTGGCTGTCAGGTGGGCACATCCCTTGTCCTCTTTCTTGCCTGCCTGCCTTCAATGGGAGGGCCCTTCCAGCTCTTTTTGTCTAGCTTGACTACCATGCCATCTAGAATCTTTGGAGGACACCTATGGTACCGCCCACCAGATCTCTGTGACCTTATCAGTTAACTCTGCCCATCCTACCAGAGGCACATGACTGTCCCCTCTGCTGGGCTCAGTCCCTTTGCAGTGACTCCCCAAGCTTGGCCAGGCTTGTGAATCTCCATCACAGCAAGAGGGCTGAGGCTGGCTGAACTGGGGCTCATACTGAAAAAGGGGTGCTGGACCTGGGCTCTTCCAGACCACAGCCTTTCAGTGCCTTATTTTCACCTTGGGGCCTCCCTTTGCTCTTGAATTACATGGTACGGGCGAAGATAGGGCACAGAGCATAGATGCTTCAGTATGTGAGCCTGGTGGGGATCAGATGGTGGGGATCAGATGGAGGGGAATAAGATAGCAGACAGACTGGGAGTCAAGTGGCTGTGTCACTTATTAGCAAGTCACTTGACTTTTCCAAGCCTTGATTTTCTTAAGGATCAAATTGGAGAAATCTCTATCTCATAGGGTTAAGCCAGAATAATGTATGTTAAACTGCTCTGTGAATTGTGAGGTCCAGTTGTTAGTTTTACTTACTGGTATAGAAAGAAAAAAAAAGTTACACGGTCATTCCTAGGTCTCCTCTTCTTCCTTTCTCCTGTCTGTGGTTCCACCCCAGCCCAAATAGAGGCAGCAGGGTTCTGGGAAGCCTGGCGGATACCAGCATTCTGCTGACTGTGGGCCTGTTCCCTTCCATAACCTGTTTCCTCATCTGTCAATTGACTGTAATAACTCTGACCCTGTCAGAGTGAGTACATGAAAGGCTGTGAAGTGCTTTGAACTCTGATGCACCTGACAAATGCAAAGGTTTCTATTATCATCAATATCATTATTATTTTGGCATTTTTCAAACACATGACATAATCTAGAACAACCTTCTCCCACCTTTACAAAACCAAAGCCGGTAGGAGGAGTATCTGCAAAAAGTGAATTAACACTGGAAAACTTTGTTATTTTAAAGTGAAACCTCATCAGCACCCCAGAACAGATAATTCAGAACAGCTGGATTTTTTCTTACTGGTCCTAAAGTTCCTTGGAAGCCCAGGAAGGTAGGCCCCCAAACTCCTGGCTCTAGGCCAAGGATGCTGATGGGCTTTGCCCTTCTGGGAATGGCTAGACAGCTTCTAAGCTTCCAACCCAAGGGTTTCCTGATTTTTCCCTCCGTTAGGGAGACATGGGAAGTAGGGGTAAGGGTATGTCCAACTTTGCATGAATTTAAAATGAAAACGGTTTTTTAAAGTCCCAAATGTTGTCAGTGATCCCATTTTATACAGTAAAATATTCATGCCCCACCCCCAGAGGGACTGCTGGCCCAGCCAAGTGCTGGGTGCCAGAGGCTGCTGCTGAGCAATCCAGGCTCCTGGCTGAGACTAGCAGGGACGTCCTTGTCCCAGAGATCCCTCTTCTCCCAGATGAGCCTGTCTCCTGGGCCTCATTCTTGTCCTCCTCTCCTGATGACTCCCATTCTCTTCTTCCTCTTCCTTTCCCTCTCCTCTCGGGATGAGGAGTTACTGTCCTAAAAGCAGAGCATCTCCTTTTCAGCCAGCCTACCTGCTCCTTCTCCTGCAGGTAGAGTCAGGTACAAGATGAAAGTTCCAGATGTCTTCACAGAATTTCCAAGTGCTGTTTCTTCATTTGCAATTTCTGTTCCTGCCATCTGTCCCCATGTGGCCTCTGCCCAGTCTTTAACCCCTGCCTTTGGAGTCCATGGAGGAAAAGAGCAGAAATAGGAGCCCAGAGACCATTCCAGAGCTTACCAGGTATGGGCGCTGCTGACTTAATTTTTACAAAACCAAGCCAATCCATCCCTAGGTAAATTTTTGTAGGCAATGCCACTAGGTAGGAAGGCTGCATTTAATGCTAATTTACTGTGAGGTCTAGGGAAGTTCTTTCTTCTTCTCTGGGCCTCAGTTTCCTCATCTGCCAAATAGGGGAGTGGATGAGATGATTGCTAAGGTCCCTTCAGTTCCATGAGTCTATGAAATGTTTATTGCTATTGCTTTTCCTTCACTATCCTGACCTTCAGAGCTGCCAGCACCCACCTGGAATGTGGTTCCTTCACTTGGGCCATGAATGGCACAGGTAACCAAGAGCTTGGCCTGCCTGCAAGCTCTACGGACAGACAGGTGAGTCCTGGCACTGGGAAGGGCAAAAGGAAAGGGAGAGAAATGCCCTAGGTTCTCACTCCGATCAGGAGGAAGCTCCTCATCAGAGTGGGTCCGTGACAGCTCAGAGGCCGAAGTCTGGATTACACAGGGCATCTGGCCTTCCAAGGCCCCGGGATGCTGGGATCCCACCACCCTGCCACTGCTTGGCAGGTCTAAGGTCAAAATCACCTTTTGAGGAAGTGCCAGGTCAGTGAACATCACTGTGCAAATCAGAAGGTCCAGGGCCAGATGCTTTGGCTAGAGACCTTTCAAACCAAAGCCATGAGGCAAGCACCGCTCCTCCCTTCCCTCCCCTTCCCCACAGTGCCCTCCCTCCCCCCACCCTCCCCCAAATTCTAAAGACTTTTTCCCCAGATTCTCAGCCTGGGCTATTAAGCTGCTAATAACACTCCTACGTACTCAGGCGGTTTTGTTCTCGGTCTGTTGCAATGGTTCTCAGGAGACATTTCATTTGTGTTCAGGACATGGGAATGTCCTGAACTAATCTTAAGAAAAAACAAGAACACTCCCTCAGAGATGTAGCCTCCTCAACAGCTCTGAATTCCTACCCCAGACCACATCTATTTATGCTCTTCAAATGGAATCAAGCCTTCAGATGAACCATTGCAATAAACCCTGCTCTGCTTGCCTCTAGACCGGGATCCCCAGGGACAGGACACTCAGGGAAGAGCGTAGAGGACATGACCTGGTCAGGTAAGAGGAAGGGGGTAGAGCTGGAAGGGCAGCGGCTAAGAGGGGGACAGGGGCAGAGAGGCAGGAGATTAGAAAAAGCAGCTTTTACAGAAACCAAAAATCAAAATCAAAACCATTAAAGATGCATAAAGTGACCCTTGCACTTCCGTTGTCTCTTGCAAATAGAGGTGGTGCTGCTAGGGAACTGCTCCAGCACCTGTGTAAGACTTGAGTAGTTGCATACAATGTGTGACTCCAGATCTGCGGAGGGAAAGGGGAAAGAAACTGTGATATTCCAGAGGCCACTTTAGGAAACCTCTGGGCCCCCTCCCTCAACTTGGGAGCCCTTCATGGGGCCTCTGTGCCTTCCTAGTGAAGCTGCCCACTTCCCACCAGTGGAACTTGTGCTCTGGTGCCAAGAGCCCTGGAGAAGGTGTGGGGAGGACAGATGATGTGGTGGGCCAGAGGATTTCAAAGGGATATCCCTAGAGGCCCTATGGTTCACTGTCACTGCCTCATGAGCTGCTGAGGTGACTAAGGAAGCCAGTGGTCTGGGTCAACCCAAAGCCTCCAACTGGCTCCAACCAAAGCTCTAACATGATTTAGGTAAGATTTCATTTGAAGAATGGGGCCCACAGTTAAAAGAAGTCTGAAGACCGTAAGGTAAATGGCACAGAATTTGGTACTACAAAACTGACATTGAAGCCTTAGCTTAATTTTTGTTGGCTAAGTGATACTGAACGACATAGTTATCTGTAAAATAGAGCTAATGATCCTTATTTCACAGAGCAACTGTAAGGATTATGAGATAACATAAGCAAAGGGATAGCAATTATGATTTCTGTTGTTACTTAGATTTCTACAAGCAGTCAACAGAACTCATAGCTATTAAGAGTGGTATTATGGACCCTGGAGCAGGAAAGCAAGGTCACTTGACAACTGTTACCTGCCCCAGCTGACACCTGTGCTCCAGACCCAGGCCAAGGGCTTTGAGGCAGTTCCTGTACGTATCCCCCTCCCACCTCTCTCCCCCTGGCTGAACTCACTTGGATGGGCTGCAGGCTTTACCAGTGTGGGGGCACGTAGCTGTACGCAGGGGTTCCTTGGGCCCTGTATGTTGGCATGGAGACAGGGTGTGCCCCAATCGCTGTGTGCTGGGGTGTAGTCAGCAGGGTACCTGAGCATCCAGAGAGAGAAGAGTAACCTGATGAGGTTGCACCAGACACAGGAATGAAGAGGATGAAGCTATAGTCTTTGGCATGACTGCTCCCTCTGCCCAAATCTCCCATCTCCCGCACCTTCCTGATGCACTGCTGTCTGCCCTTCTCCACCTCACCAGGCTTCACCTCCTTAAGGCAATCTTTTCTGATGCTTGAGGACAGAATCACTATTCCAAGTCCTCCTTTTCCCTTTTTTTTTTTTTAGATGGAACCTCGCCCTCTTGCCCAGGCTAGAGTGCAATGGTGTGATCTCAGCTCACCGCAGCCTCTGCCTCCTGAGTTCAAGCGATTCTCCCACCTCAGCCTCCTGAACAGCTGGAATTACAGGTGCACATCACCATGCCCAGCTAATTTTTGTATCTTTAGTAGAGAGGGGTTTTCGCCATGTTGGCCAGGCTGGTCTCAAACTCCTGACCTCAAGTGATCCACCTGCCGCAGCCTCCCAAAGTGCTGGGATTACAGGCGTGAGCCACCATGCCTGGCCTTTCTTTTACTTTTGTGTGTCTTACTGCACAATCATACTGAACAGTAACTGATGTCTTGTATTTCCCACACTAACCTGGGTGTTCCTTAAGGACAGGGTTCTGGTCTGATCTATTGGTATCTGGTTCCCAGGACCCGAACAACAAGGCTGGTACCAAGTAGATATCCAACAGTTTGCTGCCTTGATCTGGGGAGTGAGAGGCCTCAACCATACCCTTACGTTAGGGGCAGAATAAAATCCAAATGCTCACTCCGCCCCTTGTACTTCTTATCTCAGATGGTAGCCTAGCTGGTTCTTTAAAAGTTGGGTCTCTAGGCCATGCATAATGGCTTATGCCTGTTACCCTAGTACTTTGGGAGTCAGAGATGAGTGGATGCCTTAAGCCCAAGAGTTCAAGACCAGCCTGGGCAATATGGTGAAACCCCACCTCTACAAAAACCACAAAAATTAGCTGGCTGTGGTGGCACATGCCTGTGGCCCCAGCTACTTGGGAGGCTGAGGTGGGAAGATCACTTTAGCCCAGCAGATCAAGACTCCAGTGGACTAAGATCGTGCCACTGCACTCCAGCCTGGGTGACAAAGCAAGACCCTATCTCAAAAAGAAAAAAGGATCCTTGGGGACTTCTGCTTCTCTCATCCCTCAAAATGATTATAATTATTGCACAGGTCCTTAAGCTCCTGCCTAATAAAGAATATTGTCCCTGTGTCCCTCTTTTTTGGAGCCCCTGCTGTTACTGGAGTGTTAGTATCTCTCCTCCCTAAACTACACTGACAGCCTCCTCACTGACCTACTTGCTTCCAGCTCACCCCTTCTAATCCTGCCTCTACTCTGCTTAATGTTTAAACTTAATGGTGTCCCTGCCTGCCCTGCCTGACCCCCTTTGTGCGCAATAGAGGTACCACAAGGTATTCAAGACTTTCCACCTTCTTATCCTTGCCAGCGATCCAGCCACCTTCCAACTCCAAGCTCCTATTTCCTAAGGGCCTTGGCTCCATGGCTCCATTCCTCCATTCTATGAACATGCCATCATCATGTTCTTTCTGCACCACTCTTTCCTCTTTCAATTCTCTAGTTAGCCTGTTTTCACCCTTTAAGGCCTAGCTTGATATGCCCTTCTTGGTGAAATCTTCGTCATCCCTGTAGACAAACTTAGAGGCTCCTTCCTCTGGGTTCCCATGCCCGCCCCCACCCCCCCACCACAGGATCTCTTGTGCTATGCTGCAGTCGATTCCATGACTGTGCTCTCCGCTTCGTTGTGAGTTCCTAGAGGAAAGGGATGGCCAGTGATGCAGATGCTGCCCTCACCTGCTGACATTGCCATGGTGGTGCCTGCCACCATGCCCATGGCCACGCCGTTGGTCCTGGGGGCGGCAACAGGAGCCGGGTAGATAGCAGAGGGAATGCTGTTGGGCTGGACGACCGTGGTGTGGTGGATGACATGAGGCTGGGCAGCGTACACCGGCTGTGTGTAGTAGGCTCCCTGGGGGAAAGAGGCTGAGGTCACATAAGCATTTGGAGAGGTAGGTGGGATATGGAGAGAACAGCACTGGCTGAAAGATGCAAGGTCCGGCCCCCAGCTGGGGCTCTGCTTGTCTTACTATGGGACTGTGGTCAGTGCAATGCTGGGGTTATTTAAAAAATAAGGCTCTAGGCTGTGAGAGTGATCTAGCTGTGACATCTGTCACCCTAGTGATCGCCAGGGTTGATTCAGCTGATCTGGCTGGCTAGGTGGGTGTCCCCTTCCTCCCTCACCGCTCCATGTGCGTCCCTCCTGAAGCTGCATGCTCTGTCAAAGAGGACGACCATCCCCTGATAGAGGAGGACCAGTCTTCAATCAAGGGTACATGAGTAGCTGCACTTCCCTGCTAGAAATAAGGCTCTAATTCTGTCCTGCCTTGCCCCTAAGGCTGCTATGATGATCTAATGGGTTAAGAGCTCTACTCCCTTAACCCCGGTTTTAGCATTTTAACATGTTTTATCTTATTGCAATGAACTTTTACAAGCTGCCTAAAATTTAAAGGTAGGAACGAACAATAATCGCATGCTTGCTATTACCAAGCATGTGAACAGGGCTGGTAAACTCTAGAACACATACACTGAAGGATAATTAGTATCATACTGGTACAAGTGCTAGCATTTTATGTTGAAAACAAAATGGCAACTGGGCGCAGTGGCTCATGTCTGCAATCCCAGCACTTTGGGAGGCCAAGGCGGGTGGATCACTTGAGGTCAGGAGTTCAAGAGCAGCCTGGCCAGCATGGTGAAACCCCATCTCTACTAAAAATTAAAAAAAAAATAAAAAAATGAGCCAGGCATGGTGATGCGTGCCTGTAGTCCCAGCAACCTGGGAGGCTGAGGCAGAATGGCTTGAACTCGGGAGGTGAAGGCTGTAGCAAGCCGAGATTGTGCCACTGCACTCCAGCCTGGGCGACAGCAAGACTTGTCTCCACACCCCAAAACACCAAAAAAAAAAAAAAAAAAAAAAAAAAGCATAAATGGATAGCATTTCCCTTTAGGTAGAAAAGGTAAGGATGAAGACAGTGGTCCAAGGTGACTCCCAATTCCTGCTGCCACAATCCACTGGCCCACTGACTTCCAGGGGGAGTAAACTGGAGTCCCTGAGATCATCTTAATTCAGAAATCTTCAAATGTTTCTACTAAATGAGAAAAATATCTCAAGCCTCTTAAGTTTTGCCTTCTACTCTAAAATACAGCTGTTTTTTAAACTTCTCACCACATACTTCCTATAGAGTTGTCACTCCAGAAGAATGTGTCATGGGTGTGCTAGAGCCCCATATGGTCCCCTGTCTCATACCAATCCTGGAAAGCATATGTCCTCCAGCTGAAGGAGCCCAGAAAGGGCCATCAGGCACAGAGTAACTTGCCCAAGGTCACAGAGGACACTGGTGACAGAGCCTGTGTACTTTCCTCCTCCCCACTCAGTTCACAGACTTGATCAAGGAAGGGCAGATGTGGGGATTAGAAAAGACCAAGACATTGAGGTCTCATCTTGACCAACTAATAGCTCATGGTGTAACCCTGGACACGTCATTCCCCTCTTTGGGTCTCAGTTTCCCCGCTTGTTTAACAAAGGAGCTGAGCTAGAAAATCTCTGAGGGCCCTTGTACTCTGATGTTCTGGGGTCTGTTAATCTAAATGACTTCATGCTTCACCCCTCTAGGGGCTGAGGTGGAATGAGGGAGTAAGCAGACTGCAGGAATATTGCTTCAGTCGTACAACAGGTATGGTTAGCCAGAGCCATAAACCCTCCTCTCCTCCCTCACTTCCTCGCCCTACCCCACCACACTGCACCCAGGCTGGAGGCTCCTCTACCTGCAGAAGAGGTGGCTTTGACATGTACCTACCTGGGCATACAGATTCTGCTGGGGGTAGGCACTTCTGATTGGATACATGGCCGTCTGATAGGGGTTGGGTGATGGGGAGTAGGGGGGTGGAGCAGTATTACTCTGGGTCGGTGGGACCTTGTATGGTGTCCCCGCAGTATATCCTGTACCAAGGCAATAAGAGAGACTTCCAGTTAGTTGGCAGAAGAGCACTGCTAGAAGGCAGCAGGTTCCAGTCACGACTCCCCAGACAAAGATGGGCTGAATCCAGGCTGGAAACAGAGATAAGAACAAACAGAACAGAGCTCTACCCAGAAAGCCCTGACCCCAGAGGCAGCTCCCTCAGTCCTGGTGCACAGGGCTGCATGATGTTTCTGGGCATCTTTTCTTTCTCTGGGTCTCAGGGCTCTTATCTATAAAATAAGAGGCTAGAACCAGATGGTCCCTTTCAGCTCTGACAGCCTGGGATTTGGAGCTGTGCGGAGTGGACAGGTGCAGAGAGATGGAAGCCCTCAACCCACTTGCTCTTTATTGCTACTCTACCTTCTTGCTTTTGTCTTCTCATGCAGCATGCAGGGTATCTTTTTGCTGCGCTCTCTCTCTCTCGCTCTGTTTCTTTTTCTCCTTATCTCTCTCTCTTCTTAGACTTCCCTCCATCATGTTCCCCTTCCTCCCTACCAAGTTTGAAGGTGAAAACCCCATACAAAACACCATCCAGAGATCCTCATCTTCTGGGATGCTGAAAAACTGCTCTACAGAGTTGGCTTTCCTTCTCTCCTGGGGTCTAGGGAAAGATTACCTCTATCTGAAAAGACATGAAGTCAGAGATCACAAAGATTCACATCAGCCTGGAACCTGGGCCATGTCTGTCACTCACCAGGATGGACAAAAAGCTAGGACTGAGAAGTCAGGCCCCAAGAAGCTCACAATCGGCCATGCAAATAAATTGTGCTGCCTTTGAATCCTCCGGAAAAGAGTGATAGATCCTTTGTTCACAGAAAAAAAACCTTGAAACATGAGTCATAAAAGGAAACAAGACTGTCTCCTTTTAGAATCACAAAATGGAATTATTCTATGGAACCCAAGTGATCAAGTGACCCCAACCCTAGCACTTTACACAAGGGGATCCTGGGCTCAGAAAAGGCAAGTCTTTTTAATAACTTCTCCTGAAGACTCTAAACTCTTCTAAGTTGAAGAGACAGTACCAGGGGACCTACGCTTTGAAACCCTGCTGGGGAGGTGCTGAGGTGGCTTCTTTTCTGTGGTTACATCTTGGGTAGGTCTAGCTGACCTCACTGGGCTTTAGCTCTTTCACCTATAACATTCGCGCCAAGGACCCTTTCAGCTCCAAGGTGCTGTTTCTATTACACAAGAAGAGACTGGGGGCAGAGTGGAGGGAGTGCTTTGTTGGAAGAGAAGACATCTAGTCTTCAGTCCTGGCTTTCCCCCTAATTTTTGGTGACAACTGTCAAGTCTTTGGGCCTTAGTTTCTTATTTTGTAAAATCAGGTGGCTAACAATGAAGATCTCTTCCTAAATAAAAATTCCATGCTTCTAAAGATCTGGGTCTCTTCTACCCTAACCCCAAGTAAAAGAAAGCTGCCACATGGTCACAAATCTCTCTCAGTCCACATCACACCTCTTTGGCTTGGCATCCCCCTGCCCGAGGACTCAAGAGGATATGAGAGCTGCTGCTGCTGCCACAAAAGTTGAGCTTTCCCTGGATTCATGTCATTTATGTTTCCACCTGCAGATCCATAGATTTTTCCATAGTTTTGTGGTCTAATATGCTTGGGAAATAAGTAGCGATGAGGATAGAGTGGAAAGGATATATGAAAGAAAGGGAAGTATGTTAAAAAGTAGAAACTAACTGGCAGTGGGACTGTGAGATGAGTGATGATTCTAGAGCAGATTTCTCAAAGTTTCTAGATTATGGAGCTCATCTTGAAATGCGGTCATAGGAGGAGAAGCAGACACTGGGGGAAGACAGGGAGTCTAGCTTTGCAGATGTCTAGAAGGAACCATCTGATGTGTATGGAGACACAATTTACATATCTATAAAACAAAGGGGTTTTATAGATAAACTGGAGATAGACATTTCCCAAATGTAGATAACAGATTATAGATTCCAAGGGATCTTAATAGTTGTTTTTGCCAAAGAAAAGGAAAGAGAGTTCTGTAGTCCCATATGTTTGTGAGGTCGCAATGTGAAATAGGGGGAAACAGTCATGATTTTTTTTAAAAATTCCATGACCCCGAGAAGTTTTTAAAACAATAGAGTGAGCTGGATATCATGGCTGTCACCTATAATCCCAGCACTTTGGGAGGCCAAGGCAGGAGAAGCACTTGAGACCAGGGTTCAACACCAGCCTGGGTAACAGACCACATCTCTAAAAAAAGAAAAAAAACGTAGCCAGGCAAAGTGGCTGGTGTAGTCCCCAGCTACTTGGGAGGCTGAGGCATGAGGATGGTTTGGGCCCAGGAGTCTGAGGTGTAGTGAGCCCTGATCACACCACTGTACTCCAGCTTGAGTGACAGAGCAAGACCCTGTCTCTTAAAAAACAAAAGGTGGGAGGTGAACTGTGAATCTCTAAGATGGGAATACGTGCGAGACTGTATTTCCCAAATTAATTTTAACACGGAATCTTTTATTCACACCATAAACATTTAAAACAATTAGCCAGCTGTGGTGGCTCACGCCTGTAACCCCAGCACTTTGGGAGACTGAGGTGGGCAGATCACAAGGTCAAGAGATCGAGACCACCCTGGCCAACATGGTGAAACCCCATCTCTATTAAAAATACAAAAAAATTAGCTGGGCGTGGTGGCGTATGCCTGTAGTCTCAGCTACTTGGGAAGCTGAGGCAGAAAAATCACTTGAACTCAGGAGGAGGAGGTTGCAGTGAGCTGAGATCATGCCACTGCACTCCAGCAGCCTGGCGACAGAGTGAGACTCCATCTCAAAAAAAAATAAAAGAGTTAAATTTCAGCCATGTTTTTTGTAATTGGCGGCTTGTTTTGGTAACAAAGTTTTATTGTAACATATCTACAACCATTCATTTACATATTGACTAAGGTTTCTTTCCTGCTACAATGGTAGTTACTGACAGAGACCATTCGGCCTTTTGAAAAGCCTAAATATTTGGCCCTTTACAGGAATGTTTGCTGACCCCTGATTTAAAAGGAATATATCAAGGTGTAGAGAATCCTAGCAGAGTTGAAAGCATCCCTTTTCTAAGCAGGAGAGAACATCCCTGAACCAGAAGATGCCTGTTTCTGAAAGCTCTGCAGCACAGAGAAGTGGTTATGAGCAGTCTAGGTACTGACTGTCTAGGTCCAAACCCCCAGCTCTGCGACTTAATAGCTGTAGGATACATCAGTCTCCTTGTGTATAATATGGGAACAGTGATGGTATCTACTTCATAGGATTCCTGTGATAAATACATTAATTGTTAAGTAAAAAGCACTTAGAATAGTACCTGACAGAAGCACTTTATAAAGATTAGCTATTGTGATTTCTTCTCTCTCACTTTATAGGGAGACAGTAAGCTCCTGTCCCAAGGGTATGCAGGCAGAGCCTGGTCTGAAAGACGAAAGCTAAACTATGACTACTATGGTCTGTCCCGGCTTGGAACACAAGACTCCAGGATTGTAAGATTATAAAATGTTATGGTTTAAAATGCCATGATTTTGTGATTCTTTAAAGTTAACAGGTCAACGATGCTGATGACTTTCCTTTATACTTCTGGAGAATATGCTCTGGAATTTTTATCTTCTGTGGGGAAGCTGCATTACCTATTCTATGCCGCAAGCACAGCCATATTACAAAGTGGTAAGACTATCCCTCTGAGGAAAATCAAAAAGCTCTAAGAGACCGCAGTAGAATTTGGTTTTCACATCTAAGAATAACCTTGCTGGAGGATGTTTCCCTTTCTTTATGTTATGAAATGAGAGACACACATACTTAGAATACAAATAAGTAGCCAAAACACCCTTGGCAGCCAGAGAGATGATGCTGCAGAAGAAGGCCTTGCTTGTTTGTCCAGACAGTCTGAGATGGGAGAAGCAGAACTGCAGAGCTGGAAGAGACCTCAGAGATCATTAAGACCAGCATAAACACTTCACAGATGAGATCATGAGTAGCTGCTGAGACAGACAGCTGCTTGTGGGGATCTAAGACTCGGTGCTACTTCCTCTAACCACAGTGGTTCTCAAGGTTACCATTTGTCAGGAGGATCTTCAGGAGGCTGCAGAAACTGCCTGAGGGCCCTCATCCTAGGCTCTGTCAGTAAGTCAGGTCAATTCCTCTCTAAGGGAATTTCCTCATTTGGACTACAGTATCAGAGAACCTTTCTAGTGCTGACATTCTAAGTCTGTGAGTATTTGAGAAGACTTATGAGGAAATCATTGCGGAGGACTTTCCACAATATACTGGTGGTCCTGTCATTAGTCCTGAGGAACGCTGAAAATTCCCCTGGAGCTATAGCCAGAGCTTGGGTAACAGAAAAATCAGGGTTTATTACTTTATGCATCTAAGTAAAAGAAGCTGTTGAGCTTGTGGCAAAAAAATAAAAAATTTAAAAAAAAAAATCATAGATTTTGCCCAAATGAACTTAGACTCAATTCACTCACTGGAGGCCTGGCTATCCTGAGAGGAATTCTAAGCCTAAAGGTCGCAGAATTAAGACTTTGGAATGTTGTGCTTGAAGGACATTGGAGGTTTATATTCAATTTTCTTCCTTTCAGAGAAAGAACCTGGAGCCCAGGAGGACAGATTTTCCCCAAATTGTATAGCACATCAGTACACAGCTGGGCCCAAAGTTCAGGGCTCACCATGCCCTAGGCAGAGCTCTTGCTGAGTTAAAGTCTCTGTAGTCCAATCTTGGGCATTTAATATACTGGCCTTTGTTGTCCGCATTTCACTAAAGGCAATATCATGAGAGAAAAAAGGAATTCCATCACTAGAAGTCCCAGTTCTGCCTTATAGAAGAGGCTTTGTTTATGATGTCCTATTCTTTCTCTTAGGTTCCTAACCATAATTTCAGAATCCATCAAATGGGATAATAAAAAAAGTATGTATATTAGCAAGATAAAACCTTTTCAGCCCTTTCTGCAATCCTTTTTCACTGCCATAAATCTTTTTCGGTTGTAGAACCCCTACCACCTTCAAGGGCATTGATCCTCGAATCACGGATGCCTTTTAGACTAATCGGTTTATTGATCATCAGATTTATATGTCTGGACAAAACAAAGCTCTATGTCTGAATCTTGTTTGACCCCTAAGCTCCTTGTTGGTAGCCAAGTAAGACAGTGATGAATAAGTAGGCGACCTAATTACAAACAGGCTTAGCAAGTGTTGGTGAAATTGAATTGAATTTGTCAAAGTGTCCTGAATTTTCTGTGGTACTAGAAGCCACAAAATCTGAATGCTGGGAGGAATCTTTATGGGTATGGGAGGGCCAGTCAACCCCAACTGCATTAAAAAATGGTACAAGTTTTTACATTACTTTCTTAAAAGAGAGGGGTCGGCCAGGCATGGTAGCTGATACCTATAATCCTGGCACTTTGTGAGACTGAGTTGGGAGGAGAGCTTGAGCCCAGGAGTTTGAGACCAGCCTAGGCAATGTGGCAAAACCCCATCTCTACAAAAAATAAAAAAAAATTAGCTGGGCATTGTGGTCCCAGCTACATGGGAGGCTGTCGTGGGAGGATTACTTGAGCCTAGGAGTTTGAGACTGCAACGTAACATGAATGTGCCACTGGACTCCAGTATGAGTGACAAGAGCAAGACCTTTACTCAAAAAAGGTCATCAATCGGGGTTATATTTTGGTTCTTTTCAAGGACTGTGATAGACTGTCTGGGAGGAAACGGTTATGGCTGCTGGACACTTAATGGGACTTCAGGAAGATTTCAACATAGTAGAACGCAAGGCCTTCTGTTACTCAGACTTTGTAACTGTGGAAAAGGTTGCCTCTTTTTGGAGATGGTTTGTTGGCCAGCCACTGTTAAGGGCAACTTGAGAGGAGAGCCCTGTTGTGGTGGAAGACACTGAGTACACATCATCTTGCTGAGAGAATAAGAAGTCTAACTGCAAGAAAGAACCTTGGAGATAATTTAGTTCAGTTCCTTCATTTTGCAGTTTGAAAAATCAAGGTCCAATGCATGGACATGAATTATCCAAGGTTACACAGAACCAGTCTAGAATTCAATGCTTTGGGCTTCCACTCCAGGCCATTTTGTGCTACACTACTGTAGCTGTGCCTGTATGCATCTATATCCAGATATTTAGATGTCAGAGAGAATATGTATATCCCTATTTATATATGTATATAATCTTATGTATGTTCATTCATTCTACCTGAGGTATCTGGAAAAACTCCTTATGGCTGACATACCTCTTAAAGAGTAAAATCAATCTCATGAAAAAGGTCAGTAACAGAATCTTAATCTGGGTGGTATCTTTTTCTAGCTGTGCTGCTTACTAGCTGGGTGGCATTGGACCTATTACCTTTCTGAGCCTCATCTTTCAAACTGGGATGGAAATCCACCCAAATAACTTAGGACAAGTATAATGTAGATTAAATGAGAGGGTGATCATGAAACTATATTCTACAAAAGGTGAGTTATGTTGTATGAACATAAACTGATGTTGACATCTAGGGGCAATGAAAACTAAGGAGAAAATGACTTTGGATGTTGATATGGTTTAGAGGTTTGTTTCCTTCAACTCTTATACTGAAACGTAACCTCCAGTGTTGGAGATGGGGCCTGGTGGGAGGTATTGGATCATAGGGGTGGATCCCTCATGATGGCTTAGCACTATCCCCTTGCCGATGAGTGAACTGTGATTATTTAGAGTGTGGCACCTTCCCAGCCCCTTGTGCCCTCTATTACCACGTGATATCCTGGCTTCCCCTTTTGCCTTCCGTCTTGACTGTAAGCTTCCTGAGGCCCTCACCAGAAGCTAAGCAGAAGTTGGTACCATGCTTGCACAGCCTGCAGAACTGTGAGCCAATTAAACCTCTTTTCTTTATGAATTACCCAGCCTCAGGTATTTCTTTATAACAACGCAAGAACAGACTAACACAGATGTTTTAAAGAAAAGAAAAAAATACAATGCATTATTCTGTTCTACTTACTTAGTGCCTTAATAATTTGTGGAACCACAGATTATCAGGCCTTGTCTGGAACATCCCTGGGAGGGCTTGTCCAGTCCCTGCTGGCACAACTTAAGAGATAAGTTCTCACCACATCCAAAGTCAGTCATACCTCTATTGAACAGCTCTGACAAGACACAAAGGTCGTCTTAGATGGCGTCAAGATGCCACTCAGTAATTTCTAAACATTGGTCCTCATATTCCCAGTGGAACCACTTTGTGTTAAAAATTAGATGTGAAGGTGACAGTATCAGTTACTCTACTGAGCCTCAGGATGAATATGACCAGTCAGACTGGCTAGCTGGTTTCTGGCCTCCCTGAAGACTCCTTGTACACACCGTGGTCCTGTAGTGCAGCTTCCACTAGGACACTGTTTCTCATACAGGGGGCAATTTTGTCCCATAGGGGATATTTAGCAATGTTTATAAACATTTTTGGTTGTCACAATGAGGCTTTGCTACTGGCATTTAGGGTAGAGGCCAGGGATGCTCTTAAACCTCCTATAATGCCCAGGACAGTGCCCTGACAACAAAGAATTACGTGGCTTAGATGTCAATAGTGCTAAGGTTAAGAAGCCCTGTGCTGGGGACAAGCCCTGTCTGTCCAAAGACCGACAGACCTTCAAAATGTACCCTCTGTCCTTTCCCCCTGAAATGCAGTAACAGTCCTTCCCCAGTCAACTTGCTGGCCAGGTGAGTATTTCCTTCTCCCTCCCTCAGTGCTTTGTGTCTCCCCAAAGCTGGGTGCATGATCAAAGAGGATGACCTTTCCTGAATAAGGAGGGCCAATTTTTTGCCTGGGTAAAAGAACCTCTTAAAACAGTATTTATCTCATAAATGTCATTTTTAAAAGCTCCCTTTCCTTTCTTCCTAAGAAACAAATCAGTCCCAACCAAGGGGAACAAGGAAAGGAGACAGGCTGTATTTACTGAAAGCCGCAGAGGATGCTTGGTAAGTTCGGTTCTCGGTCCCGGTGTCCACTGGGAGGTGGAAGGTGCCTTCAGTGCCACAGGAAGACGAGTTCTGTGGCCAGGCCTGTTTCATCAGCAGAGTTGCTTAAGGGAAGACACAAGAATGGCATTAGGCAGAAATAAGAAGTGGCCACCACCAATCACAGACACAAAGCAAGGGTCTTGTGCTGGACAAAAACACACAACCCAAGGAGCCTGTTCAGACACACAGGATGGCTCAGCCTTTCCGAAATGGGTAAGTGGGTTGGGAGGAGTGCTGATGTATGTTTCCAAATGATTTGAAATCAAGAAAATCTGAAGTTATACTAAAAGAGTCAGGATTTTCTACCTACTACTAAAATCACAAAGATGCCCATGAATACCACCTCCTACTACCTAACATTGTGGCCTAAGGCCCTGGTATATTGCTCAGCCACTTTCTCATTAATGTGTAGCAACTTGGGAGCCTTTGTGTGTTGACCAGATCAACTGAGCACTCTTTATTTTCTGAAATACCATCTGGAGGTATATTTATAAGCTGCTTTCAAAGACAGGCCCACAAAAAATTACGCATTACATGAACCTTGCTGGACTGCCATCTCCTCTGAAGGGACTGAGTTGTGGCTGTGGCAGCTTAAAAGGCACTGGGCACTGTGCCGCACTAAACCTAGTTAGCCAGTGGGGCACTCCTTGCTAATAACTCTTCTCCTGAGGCCAGACAGACATAATTCTTGCATACCCCTGAATATCTTCTGCTGAGGTGTTACTGGGTGCCCCACCTGGGATATCTCCTCATTAATTAGAGATGGTCCTTTGGGCCATTAAGAAAGCAAATATCAAATTTGGGGTAGGTATGAAATATAGATGAGGCCAGTTTAAGATCTGCAGAGACTTCCCAGGCTGATTCAAAGCCCAGCTAGAGATATTTGAAGGATGATACTTCATATGTTTTAGAAGTGTGGTGTGACTCAAAAAACTTACCTTCGTGGTATCCTGAGGGGAAAGAGAAAAGAAACAGATTTCCAAAGGGGGACTTGCCTAACTTTTTAAGATATTTTCCTTGTTATAATTTCAAACACTAGAGGGGAAACATTCTTGACTCAAATTTCTGTTTATGGTAAAAAGAATAACTTTAGCAACATCTTTTCCACTCAAAGTCTTGGGGGGGCATGGATATGGGGTTTTATATAGCCTATTAGCAGAAGGTGGGGCTGCATTGGCAATACTTAAAATATTTAACTGAGAGGCTAAGACAGGGTGTTATGAGAAGAAAGTATGCCTATACACTCTCTAATTCCACCAGGACAAGGATATTCTACCTCCAGAGAGATCCTGTAACCCCTTCTGCCCATTCAGGTAACAGGTAATACCTCTGATTCCTTTGATCTCAGAAGTACTGGGGCCAGAGAAGGTCAGGGACTGTGCTGTTTTTGTTGAAGCAAGGCTACAAGTATGGCTATTGTAGGCTGACTCTGCGTTTGCATTAATGGCCCGCAATAGATACAGCAGATGCTGACCAATGAGAAAGAAATCATGGGCAGGAAAGTCACACTAAAAGGAGAATTCTGGTAAGAGAAATGGAGACCCAGCAGAACTCCATGTAGAGCCCAGGGCCTTTCCTGGTCATCGAGACATGGCTCTGCAGACAATGAAGGAGGAGGAGAGTCCATTTTAAACAATCATTTTGTATTTCTTTTCTTTGGGGAGTGGGAAACAGGAGAGGGATAAAGAATCCAATTAGTGTTAACATATCTTTATCAAGATGTCTCCAAATTTAGTCTGCCATACATGTGGCTGGAAAGCAGTGGCCACTCCCAAAACAACTCTTAAAAAGTAAAACATACAGCTCTGAAAAGTCAGATGTAGCAAGCCCATTCCCTCAAAACCCCACAGGAACGCCACCAGGGGACAGAAGTCCTGAATTTGGCTGTAGGGATTTAGAGAATTTGGAGGTTCTAGTACATTCCAATTTTTTCCTCCAAGTGGTATATACTTTACCATAATTTTCATAATAAGCCAAAAGTCTGACATTAGCCTGAAGGACTGTGTGACAATTAAAGTTAGTAAGTCAAACTAACTTAACTTACTCTTCATAAAAGAGTAAATCACTCTTTTGTCCAAAGAGCGACTGAGGTCTACACTGCACTCAGCACTGAGGGGAGCGCCACGGTGGAAGGGAACACACGTGGGTCACAGTCACTGCACACAAGGTACTTATGGTCTAGCTGGGGATGCAACACAGCCACACGCCAACCAAGGAGTGAACAAGACAGCATGATACACAATAAAATAATGTTCCAGGTTAACCAAGAAAGAAGCAAGTGCGACTGTGCCTTTGATTACTATGTCTTTTCCAACTGATGACGTGAACTATACTATATGTTTTTCTGAATAAAAATACTTTTCTGTATTTTTTCCTGGTTTCATCATAAAGAAAACAAATTAGTGTATTCTGTACTTCTCTGTATATTTGAATCCTTGTAATTTAAATAACTAGATAAATGTGAAAACAAATCAAAAAACAAATATTAGCTGTCAACTTGACCTCATTAGTTAGTTGTACCGTGTGATCGAACTCCTGGTACACAATTCTGAAGTTACGCATTCTGTTGGTGGGAGTGATTCAGAGCTCAGTTGAGGGATGAAGACAATTCCAACTGAAGCTTTTAGAGGCATGGTGATAGAGGAGGCTGCTCTGAACAGCATGCCTGCCCTTGGGTGCCTGAAAAGTACCACTTCCTAGAGATGTTTTGTATTTTGAATTGAGTGGTAGTTAAATATAGGCATATACATATGTAAAAACATTACTAAGCTATATACACTTAAGATTAGTGTACTTGGCTGGGTGCAGTGGCTCACGCCTGTAATCCCAGCACTTTGGAGGCCGAGGTGTGTGGATCACGAGGTCATGAGCTCGAGACCAGCCTGACCAACATGGTGAAACCTGTCTCTACTAAAAAACACAAAAATTAGCCAGGTGTGGTGGCATGCACTTGTAATCCCAGCTACTCAGGAGGCTGAGGCAGGAGAATTGCTTGAACCGGGGAGGTGGAGGTTGCAGTGAGCCAAGATTTGCACCACTGCACTCCAGCCTGAGTGAAAGAGTGAGACTCCATCTTAAAAAAAAAAAAAGAGAGAGATTAGTGTGCTTTATATACTTTACTGTATGTGTGTTATACCTCAATGAAATGAGAGAGAGAGAGAACCCTTGGCAGTGAAGGGCCGTGGGCCCAGTCACAGCATGCAGCCCACATCCAGGTGCTGGGTTGTTCACTTCCCTGGATACGGGGCCCTCACGCCCTCTGACACTTGAACAATCTGTTAAGCACATTTACAAGAAAGAGAGGCAGCAAGGGACCATCATCCTGAACAATGTACTGAGTCAGGAAATCTGAGTTGTAGCCTGGGCTCTGCCACTTATTAGCTGTGGGACCTTGGGCAAGTCACTTAACCTTTCTAAGCTTCAGATTTGTTGTCTCATAAAATGGCAATAATCATCACTCCTTGATTGCTTCGTAGTACTGATGTGAGGGTCAAAAGTAAAGTGTCACCCAGTCTTATAGTTTCTAGTTCTGGTTTCTGTCCACTCTTCCATTTCCAAAGTTGTAGGCTACAGCTCTAATTGAAGCTCTCATCATCTCTCATCTTAACTACTGCAACTGCTTCCTCATGTTAAATCTGCTTCCTCCAATTTTCAAGCTGCATTCAGAGCCATATACCTAAGACTGAAACCTAATCACAAAACCCCCTTTCTTGAAAACATTCCATGGTTTTCCACTAACTATAGGCTAAAGTTTGAACTCCTGTATAGCATTCAATGCCCCATCATGATCATCTCGTCCTGAAGACCTTTCTAGACTCTCTCATTGTTCTCAATCTCCAGCCCACACTACAGCAACAGAAACTGCTTATAATTCCCAGAATATGCCAGGGAGCCTCACATCTCCATGTTTTGTCTACACTGCTACCTCTTGTGGTATGTCTTTCCCCAGACTCCATCTGGTAATACTGATTAATCCATCAATCATGAGCTGAAGACTCACACCTACTATAAAGTCTTTCCTTCCCCCACCCCTTAACCACAGCCCTGTGATTCTTGGAAGAATCTCAATCCCTGTGATTCTTGGAAGCACCTGTACTTGATGACATGTCTTCTCTCCACTAAACTCTGAGCTCCTTGAGAACATGCCCCTTGTCTTACTAGACTTTGTATCTTCAAAGGGCCAGCTGAGGGCCTGCACAGAATTTTGTAAAGTGAAGAGCTCCAACCGTATTCTGTATGCAGATCTATTTCAGATGCTATAACTGGAAGGGGAAGCATGAGAGCTTCTCTGACTTTTTATGGACCCTTCTGTTCAGGTTCATATATCCTGAGGCGAACAAAAAATGACTACATGAGAAACAGGTCTGTGACTAACAAAATTGAAGTAATAAAATTATAAGAGGACAGGGTATTAGTATTTAAAGGGACTTCGGAGATCATGTGAAATTAAACATTTTATCTATGGCCTGGAGACATTAGTAAATTGCCCAAGATCACACAGCCCACAGCTGTGGCAAGGAGAAATTTCACAGCTCATCTCCTGACAGATGCGCAACACACAAATTCAATTTCCAGCATCCAAATAATTCAAGGTTAAAAGTTGAGAAAGGGTACAGAGATTTTATAAAAACATTTTCCTGAGCAGCCCAGGTGAGGGTGGTGAAAGTTGCAAGCCCTTCCCATGGTCCCTTCCTGTCTATGACAAAAAGGTCCTAGTCAAGTTATACTGCTGGGACCCTCACAGGTGCCCAGAAGTTCCTGTGGTGCCTTGGGCCTGGAGTCCACACTGTCCAGAGAACCCAGTTCTGGTCCCTCACTTATTAGCCCCCTCGCCCCCCACCTCTCACCATCTTCTGGGAAAATGAGCCCAGAGCTCAAGTTCTGGGCTGATGGAACAGATTGTATCTAAAGTCAACCAAGGCTTCAAACATGTCAGACTGCCGATGGAGATGGAAAATCTGATCCTGGGGCAGACTAGTTTTTTGGGTTCTAATAGGCATAATCCAGGTACTCCTTCACAGAGGCTGCCACAAAGCCAACTGAGGAGCCGCATGCAGGCCCTGGAATTTTTGTTGATTTGTTTGAATTCGGCAGCCAGGTTAGGGTGAGAGATGCTTTTTAATGCCATGATCCTTTGCTGCTGCCCTAGGGATGGTTCATGTGTGTCTCCAACCCATGATTTTTGCACCATCAGACATGTTCCTGCATGCTTTAGGAACTGCTGCTGAGCCACCTGGGGGGAGCCCAAGCCTAGGGGATGGGATTTGGGTAGGAGAGGAGAGGGGATCTACCATTGTTATGAGATAACACATTCATAGGCTGTAATACAGATGAGGAAAAATAGCTTTCCTACCATAAGCTGAATGCAGGAACTGAAACTCTGTTGGATAGAAATGTTAGTTGAAATTACCACTAAGAATTTGTGCAAAGTTGTATACATTGCAGTTACATAAACAGACTTTGTTTTGCGATAGCAGTTTCTCCCCCTCCCCCCCAGCTTCACAAACACAGTAAGTAAAGAAGGTGTGAAGCACCTTTACCGTAGAAAGGGTGACAGACTTGTCATCTGGGAAAGTTCATTCACTGGAGTGAGCCCCTCCCCGGACGCCATAGTGTCTTCCAGGCAGCTGACCCAAAGCTGCCTGGATGTGAACAAGCCCAAGTTCCTGCTTTTTGCTTGTCTGTTATAAGATTACATTTCAGTTCTCCCAAGAACTGCAGAGGGATTTCACATATGACAGAGACTTTGTGTTAGAGGAAGTGAAGGTTCAGAGACAATATCACCATCTTTGATGTCTAAAGAGCTGTCTGTAAAACCCCTGAGAGATAGGAGCAATGCAGAGGCACACCAACCCTGAAGTCTCTGGGTCACTGTGGTGCTATAGAAGGAGCACAGGTTGTGGGGTTAGACAAGTTGGGTTTGAATCCCAGCTAAACTGCTTTTTTATGGAGACAGGGTCTCACTCTGTTGCCCAGGCTAGAAAGCAGTGGTGCAATGACAGCTAAATGCAGCCCCCAGCTCCTGGGCTCAAGTGATCCTTCTGTCTCAGCCTCCTGAGTAGCTGGAACTACAGGTACATGCCACCAAGCCATCTATTTTTCTTTTCTTTAATTTTTTTGTAGAGATAGGGTCTCATCATGTTGCCCAGGCTGGTCCTGACCTTTGGCCTCAAGCCATCCTCCTGTCTTGCCCTCCCAAATCTACTGCTTTTTAGCTGCATAACTTTGGGCAACTTATTTATCCCGTTTGAGCCAAGTTGAAGACAGGAAGCTCTAACTCACAAGACTAAGGTAAAAATGAAGGTTTGTAACATGATTTGCACAGGGCTTGGAACAGGGCAGCTGTTCAGAAAGCACAAATTCTTTTTCTCTATCCTCCCCCAAGTTTGTTGTATGTAAAATGGGAATAATGTATTTGTACTTTATAGGGATGCTGTGAAATCAAATGAGATAATACAGGAAAATGTTGTGTCAACAGATTCCATGAGGAGGTTATTTTATTTTTATCTGTATTAGTTAACCTGTTTATCCTTCCCATCATTTATTTTCAAGCCAGATTACCACTAATAGATCCCTAGATTCTGAAAACCAAATCTTGATTGACTCCTACCTCTTGCGGGACCAAAGAGTTCCTAAATAAGATCCCTGACATCATTAAGAGCTTGGGAAAAAGCTCCAAATGCCCACATTGCTTTCAGAACCACTGAAAAGAGTGAAATGCTTCCCTGCATCCTAGACAGATAACATCTTAGGTACTCAGAGCTGCTAAAAATAGCGCGCGTGCTCTCTCTTTCTCTCTCTCAAGCAACTTCTTGTTCTCCTTAAAGCAGCAGAAAAAAATTTAAACCTAAGAGCCTGGTTCCTTCTGAAGGTACCTCCTCTGCATCACAAATGGCTGGCTCTGGCAGGAAGGTGAGAGTAATCTAAATGATCCTTTCTGACCTTCAGCTAGCTTCTCCATGGTAGGAAGTCCCCCCTAGTAAGGAAATCTGCACTGTGAATCCAGAGGCCAGCATTCCAAAATATGCTCTGTGTGTGTGTGTTTGTGTGTGTGTGTATGTGTGTGTGTAACTCAAAAGGGAAAGAAAGGGAAGGGGATCTTCCCACGGTCACACCAAAATCAGAAGCAAAGTTAGTGCTACAACCTAAGTCTTTCAACTCTGAGTTTGGGGTCTTCAAATACAATAACACCACCCTCTCTTGTGGATTTTGTGAGTTTTTGAGAAAATAGTCTGGGTGACATTAGTAGAAATAAGTTGACTTTTAAAAGCAAAATTAGGGAAAATCAAGTTAGATGAGGGCTTATTTTTATTTTAAAATTAAAATTGAATATATATGCCAAGATGTACTGAATTTCTTTTCTTCCCCTACAGTTTCAGTCTCCTCCTATCTGCACTCCTTTCCCTCTTTAGCCAGTGTAATGCCTTAATTTCTCTCTGGCCCACTGATGCAACTACAATGTAGCAGTTAAGAGCTCATGCAGACACAGTGTTAGGGTGCTAGGCCTTGGATCTTTGGGTTAGTTATGTAACTTCTCCAAGTTTTGGTTTTCCCATTTGGAAAATGGGGATAATAAGAATACCAACTTCAAAAGTTTATTGCTGTGTAAAACAAGCTAATATCCATAAAGAACTTCAAATAGTCTTGAACACATAGAAAACATTCAATAAGCAGTAGCTATTTATTCCATATCTTTCCACTTATTGGTAAACGGATCCTAAAACAATCCCACAATCTATCACCAGAAGTGCTGAACATTGTGAGAAAACAGCCCAGTTCTGGGGATGAGAGCCTGGACAAATGCACAGCCTTCACCATTCAGGTGGGCCCCGAATGTCACCCTGCTCTGTTATCTTTTGGTAGTTTCCAGTCCTACTCCTTCCTATGAGGCTCTCACACCCTGACCTTCCTAGTTAAGAACCCTCCCTTTACCCCTGCTGCCCTCTGTAGCAGCAAATCAAGGTCATTAGATGAGAACTCTCCACTTTCCATTGGGCAATTTATTTAAGCACATCTACCTCTGACCTTTCCTTTAGTGGGAGAGGAAGAGTTGCCCTCCTGCATGAGGCACCCTGTCTCCATCTGCCACTCAACTTCACAAACCAGAGAAGAGAACTGAGCTCCAGATTTCCCACCCCTACACCAGCCTCTGTGGCGGCCTGGCTCTGGCACCGCTTCTCCTGCATCTCTGACTTATCCTCTCCACTTGCCCCTTCCTATCAGTCCTTAACTTTGCTCATATCTGAGAAAACCCGCCTTCAACCCTACGTTCACTTCTAGTCAGTGTCCTTTTGTTTTTCCTTTCCTGGTAGCTAAGCTTCAGGTAAGAATAGGCTATATATGCTAAATCTACTTGTTCACTCCTGATTCACTGCACTCTGGTTTCTAGCCTCACCACTTCACTAACAATGCTTCCAGTGAGGTCCCTGGTGGCCTCCAGACTATAAAGACAATGAATCTTCTTCACTCCTGATCTTACTTGATCTTCTGCAACAACTCATTTTGTTTTAGACTGGGAACAGTTTACAAAGTCAATTCACAGATCTAATAGCACTTAAATTTAAATCATTTATATATCATGATATACATGATAATTGAAGCCTTTGTAGTTAAGATAGAAATTATCCAATTTGATTATCAGAATTTCTGTAGCTTTTATTGTTTTTGCCTTCTATTATAGATCTTGGAGAAAATATTATATATCATATTGACTAAAAGTAAATATAAAACCAATGCAGAGATACTATTATAGAATTTTAGCCCATGCATCACTGCTCCCTTCATAAGCGCTCCAAAGGCAGTGACTACAGCTTCCTCAAGTTTGAATCATCTACATGGTCTTCCAAAATATCTTAAGCATAACAGGGTGGGTCAAAATGTCTGTGGAACATCTATGTAAACACCTTAGGGGATACCATCACCTATTTACCTAAAATAGTTCTTGTTTGCCCAAAAAAGAGGGGCTATCTGATAACTTCATAGTGTGTGTGCATAATTATGATATGATTCCTACTTAGAGATGGGGGAAATGAGATTCAGATAGATCAGGTGACTTTAAGGTTGCTAATCTAGGAAATGACAGTGAGGACTCAAACCTAGGTCTTCAGACAACCTATATTTTTTTCTCCTTTAAGTGTGCCCCAAGAAAGATATTGACAGTAGAATAAGCACTACATTGGGAGAAAAAGGCACAGGACAAGAGTCAGGAGATCTGCCAAAGATTCTAGTCCATATGCTGCTGCTGACTCACTGGGTATGTTCGGACAAAACACTGTTTTTTGGTTCTCCTTTGTCAAGAGAAGAGGTTGACTGGGGGATCTCTAAGGTCTTTGGAAGCTTACTAATTCTATAATGATAACTGCTAAACAAGAAAATGTGGGGTATGGCTGGGTGCGGTGGCTCACACCTGTAATCCCGGCACTTTGGGAGGCTGAAGCAAGTGGATCACAAGGTCAGGAGTTCAAGACCAGACTGGCCAACATGGTGAAACCCTGTCTCTACTAAAAAATACAAAAATTAGCTAGGCATGGTGGTTTGTGCCTGTAATCCCAGCTACCTGGGAGGCTGAGGTAGGGGAACTGCTTGAAACAGGACCCGGGAGGCGGAGGTTGCAGTGAGCCGAGAATGCACCACTGCACTCCGCGAGACTCCATCTCAAAAAAAAAAAAGAAAGAAAGAAAATGTGGGGTATTATCAAGACATTCAAGGCCTCTCCAAATCTCGCCCTTGCATATCTATAGTTCAGATTCATCTAGCCGCTTATAGTTTATGCTGCAACCACTCCCCTACTTCTGTGTTCTTCACAGTGTCCTGTTCGCCCATCTCTAAGCCTCTGCCCATGCTCTACTCTACCCGGAATGCCCACTCTCCTTTGTGTGCTTAAAGAATAGCTTCTACTTCTCCTTCAAGTCTCTATTGTTACCCACTCTCTGAAGCCTCCCCTACACTTTTTTTTTTTTTTCTTGAGACAGAGTTTCACTCTTGTTGCCCAGGCTGGAATGCAATGCAGCAATCTCGGCTCGCCACAACCTCTGCCTCTCAGGTTCAAGCTATTCTCCTGCCTCAGCCTCCCGAGTAGCCGGGATTACAGGCATGTGCCACCATGCCTGGCTAATTTGTTTTGTATTTTTAGTAGAGATGGGGTTTCTCCATGTTGGTCAGACTGGTCTCAAACTCCCAACCTCAGGTGATCCGCCTGCCTCGGCCTTCCAAAGTGCTGAGATTACAGGCATGAGCCACAGCACCCAACCAAGCTTCCCCTATACTTTCCCCCCAGGCAGACTGTTGTTCCCTCCTCCTCCCCTTATATGTATTCCTTTTACAATACTTAGCACATTAGCACTGCAATGAGTTTACATGCCAGGCTCCCCAATGTGACTGTAAGCTACTTCAGACAGGCAAAGATGGCATCTTTCAATTTTTGTATCTCAGTATCGAAGACATTCAACAAATACTTGTTGAGTAAAAGGAACTTACATAAAACCATCCATAACCCTGAGGCAGGTAGTCACATTGGATCTCAGAGAGGTGAGGTGACTTGGCCAAGGCCTTACAACTAGTGAGTCAGGTAATCAGGATTCAAACCCAGGACTTTCTAACCACAGAGCCTATACCCTGCTGTTGAGTATTAGAGTACCAGCTGAGCATGAGGGTTAAGATCAGAACTAAGACCTCTGCAGTGCTCCAAGCCCAAAAAACCTTTTCAACATTTTCAAACCCATTTCAACCTCAATCCAAGGATTGTTGGGCCTTTATTATTTTTGAAAACCCAGCAGCTTATCTCAGCTTGAAAACCAGCTCTTTACCTTCTGGTGGCAAGAGTGTGTGTGTGTGTGTGTCCCAAGGAGAGTAAGAGAGTGTGAGAAAGAGAGAGAGAGAGAGAGCGAGCGAGTGCGTTTGTGTGTGTGTGTGTGTGTGTGTGTGTGTGTCAAGAGCGTGTGTGTGTGTGTGTGTGTGTGTGTCCCAAGGAGAGTAAGTGTGTGTGTGTGTCAAGAGCGTGTGTGTGTGTCCCAAGGAGAAGAGAGGGAGAGAGAGTGTGTCTGTGTGTGTGTGTCCCAAGGAAAGTGAGTGAGAGAGAGAGAGAGAGAGAGAGAGAGACAGTGTGCGTGTGTGTGTGTGTGTGTGTGTGCCCCCGTCCGTCCGTCCCAATGGCAGCCTCAGGGAAAACTGAGCAAAGAATGAATTTAGACATTGCTTGGGGAGCAGAAAATGTTCTATGAGGAAGATGCAGGTCTCAGACATTCCAGCACAGGATTGATGAGCCAACCTTAAGTCCCAGAGAGAATGGAGAAGATTCTATTCCTGCCCCCACCCTGAGGCTGATCTGTCTCAGTTCCCAGAGGGGGGACTCCCAGGAAAATCAAGCCTGGACAGGCTGGGCCTGGAGCAATTAAGAACAGGAAAAGGCCAGCAGGTGGTTTTGTTTTTCCAAATAGATTCCCCCTTCCCCATTCACCACTGCTGTCCCTATTTTCTCCTTACCTGGAGCATAACTGGGACTATTGGTGGGGTAGAGGCTGGGATTGTAGGCAGGGGCCGCTGCTGGATAGGCTGTGGGGTAACCTACAGACAGATAAGAAAGCTTATTAGTTAGGCAAAAAAAAAAAAAAAAAAAAAAGCAGATTTTTGAAAAAATAGAATTCAAGTCCTAGGCTTGGCATCCAGTCTCTCCATGGGCTATTTCAGACAGTATATGTGACCAGCTTTCAGCCTCTCAAGAAAAAAGTTACCAAAACCAAAATCCTAATATGTACAGACTTTCTGGTCTATTTTTAAAAACTGATACAAGAAATATGTCCGCATGCTCACCATAAAAAAAATATGGAAGCAACATTGAAATTTACACTTTTTATGTTCAAGTTTACTTTCATATTCCTGCCACAACATCACTCTCCTCCCCAGAGGTAACACCATTAACAGTTTAACATCTATCTTTCCAGGTAGCTTTGTATAATTTTTATACACATATATTCAGTGCTGTGCTGGTAAATACATAACAACTGGCTCGAAGGGGTTGGAAATAGGAGCTGCTTTGCACCATTTGACAACTGAGATGGCATAAATGTTTCCACCATGACCAATCTGATGCTACCAACTTCACTGAATGAATAGTTTGGAAGAGGTGCCCATGATCAGCTCTCAAGAGCTTACACAAACCAGATCCAGCCCACCGCAGTATATTATATGCAGTTTGGGGGATTTTTTGAAACTTTTTTATAATGGTAAAATATGTATAATATAAAATTTGCAATTTTAACCATTTTAAAATGTATAATTCAGTGACATTAATGACATTTACAATGTTATGCAATTATCACCACTACTTATTTCCAAGAAATTTTCATCACCCCAAACAGAAACTCTGTAACCATTAACAGTAACTCCTCATCCCCTAACACCCACCATGGTAACCTCTAATCTACTTTCTGTCTCTCTGAATTTGCCTGTTTTAGGTATTTTATATAAGTGGAATCATACACTATTTGTCCTTTTGTGTCTGGCTTCTTTCACTTAGCATAATGTGTTTAAGGTTTATCCAAGTTGTAGCATGTACCAAAACTTCCTTCTTCCTTATGGCTGAATAATATTCTACTGTGTATATATGCCACATTTTTTTAATCCAGTCATCTGTTGAGGGACGCCTAGGTTGTTTCCACCTTTTGGCTACTGTGAATAATGGTATAATAAACAATGACATTAAGTACCTGTTTTCAAAAATCTTTGAGATATACAGCAGTAGTAGAATTGTTGGGTCATACAGTAATTCTATGTTGAGCTTTTTAAGGAACCACAAGACTGTTTTTCACAATGTCTGCACTTTTTTTTTTTTTTTTTTTTTTGAGATGGAGTCTCGCTCTGTTGCCCAGGCTGGAGCACAGTGGTGCGATCTCAACTCACTGTAACCTCTGCCTCCTGGGTTTAAGTGATTCTCCACCTCAGCCTCCCGAATAGCTGGAATTACAGGTACACGCCACCACACCTGACTAATTTTTGTATTTTTAGTAGAGACGGAGTTTCACCATGTTGGTCAGGCTGGTCTTGCACTCCTAACCTCAAGTGATCTACCCGCCTTGGCCTCCCAAAGTACTGGGATTACAGGCATGAGCCACTGTGCCCCGCTAACGTCTGTACTATTTTACATTCCCACCAGCAATGCATCAGAGTTCAAATTTCTCTACATCCTCAACAATGCTTGTTATTTTCTTTTATTATTACTATCATTATAGCCATCTTGTATAGTAAGTGTGAAGTGGGATCTCAGTGTGGTCTTGATTTGCATTTCTTTTTTTTTTTTTTTTTTTTTTTTTTTTGGAGACGGAGTTTCGCTCTTGTTACCCAGGCTGGAGTGCAATGGCGCGATCTCGGCTCACCGCAACCTCCGCCTCCTGGGTTCAAGCAATTCTCCTGCCTCAGCCTCCTGAGTATCTGGGACTACAGGCACGCGCCACCATGCCCAGCTAATTTTTTGTAGTTTTAGTAGAGACGGGGTTTCACCATGTTGACCAGGATGGTCTCGATCTCTTGACCTCGTGATCCACCCACCTCGGCCTCCCAAAGTGCTGGGATTACAGGCTTGAGCCACCGCACCCGGCCGATTTGCATTTCTTTAATGACTAATGATGTTGACCATCTTTTCATGTACTTATTGGCTATCTGTATATCCTCTCTGGATAAATGTCTACCCAAATCATTTTCCCATTTTAAAATACAATTGTTTGTTTATTTTTTAGAGACAGGGTCTTGTTCTATTACCCAGGATGGAGTGTAATGGCAGGATCATAGCTCACTGTAACTTTGAACTCCTGGGCTCAAGTGATCCTCCTGCTTCAGCTTCCTGAATAGCTGGGTCTATAAATGTGTGCTGCCACACCCCGTTTTTTGTTGTTGTTTTTTTTTTTGGTTGTTTGTTTTGTTTTGTTTTTGTAGAGACAGGGTCTCATCATGTTGCCCAGGCTGGTCTCAAACTCCTGGCTTCAAGTGATTTTCCTGCCTTGGCCTCCCAAAGTATTGGGATTACACAGGACATTTTCCCATTTTTTTCATTGGGTGGTTTGTCTTTTTGCTGTTGCATCGTAGAAGTTGTTTATTCTGAATATTAAACCATTATCAGATATATTACTTACAGATACTTTCTCCCATTCTTTGGGTTGTCTTTTTACTTTCTTGATAATGCCTTTCATGCAAAAAAAAAATTCAATTTTAAGTCCAGTTTATCTATTTTTTCTTTTGTTGATTATGCTTTTGGTGTCATATCTAAGAATCCACTGCCAATCAAATGTCATGAAGATTTACTTTTATGTTTTCTTCTAATGGTTTTATGGTTTTGGCTTTTATATTGAGATCACTGATACATTTTGAGTTAATTTTTATATATGACATAAGGTAGGGGTATACATGGTTTTACATTTTACTTTTTTACTTTAACATTATAAATATTTCCTCATGTAATTACATATTCTTCAAAAGGCTTATTTTAATATCTTTATGATATTCCACATGTAGATATATCGTTTAACCATTACCTGTTTTGGTTGTTTGAAAATTTCATTTTTATAATAGCTAACAGACTAAAATAAAACAGACTAACAGACTAAATGAATCTCTGTTTCTTTAGGAATGAATTCTAGAAGTGGAGATCTCTAGGTTAAAGGATGGGCCTATTTTTCTTTTTTGAAGTTGGAGTCTTGCTCTGTCGCCAAGCTAGAGTACAGTGGCGCGATCTGCAACCTCCACCTCCTGGGTTCAAGCGATTCTCCTGTCTCAGCCTCCCGAGTAGTTGGGACTACAGGCGCATGCCACCATACCCAGCTAATTTTTGTATTTTTAGTAGAGACAGGTTTCACCATGTTGACCAGCATGGCCTCTATCTCTTGACCTCGTGATCCACCTGCCTTGGCTTCCCAAAGTCCTGGGATTACAGGCGTGAACCATTGCACCTGGCCGGGTAGGCCTATTTTTAAAGTTCATCAATTCAACAAACAATTTGAGTATCTACTTGGTGCCAGAGACTGATTTAGGGACTTTTGACAGTGAACAAAATGAAGATCCCTGGCCTTGTGGAGTTTATATTCTAAGAGGGTGGGAGAAGGCACCCTTGGATAAATACTAAAGTCTTCAGTGCTATGGAAAAGAGAAAAAGGCCAAAGTAAAGGGCATCAGGAATGCCAAAGTGTTGAAGGTAAGGGCATTGCAATATTGTAAAGAATAATCAGAGTAAGACACATTAAGAAGGTATTATTTTTGCAAAGACTTGAAGGAAATGATAGTGTTAATCAAGCAGATAGCTGGAGGAAGAGTGTTTCAGACAAAACAGTCAGTGCAAAGACCCTAAGTTGACAGCATATAAGACAATGTCGGAGGAACAGCAAAGAGGCCAGTGTGGCTGGAATGGAACAAATGAGGGGGCAGTCATAGCAGAGGAAGTCAGAGAGGTAAAGGGTTGGCCAGTTCATGTAGGACTTTATGGGCCACTGTGAGGACTTAAGACTTTTATTCTGAGTGAAATGAGAAGACCTCACAGAGTTTTCAGTAGAAGAATAACATGCTATGACTTATGTTTGAAAAGAGTCACTCTGATTGATGTGTTGAAAACAGACTATAAGGGGATAGAGAAGCAAAGCAACCTGCTGAGAGGCTACTGCAAGCTCCAACAATAGATGTTGGGACTAAGACCAGGGAAATAGTGGAGGTGAAGAAAAGTGACATGCTAAGAGCCTTCACATACTTTGCCATACTGCTTTCTAGAAAGACCATCAATTTGTACTTGTTCTAGCAGTGTGTAAGTGCCTGTCTCACTGCTCCCTGCAGTTGTTAAATGCTCATTGGCATTTTGACTGACAAGGAAAAGCTGGTTTTAAAAGTCAAAGATTAAATCCCTAAATCCCTAAAAGCTTCTTTGGGATTTGTAAATATTGAAGCTTTAATAATGTATCTTTGTTAATATGCCTTTTCCTAAATCCTTTCCAATTCCAAAGAAAATTCATCTCTTTACCCCCTAATCATTTTCTGATTTTAGAACTGAGGTAGCTAACTTATCACTTAATTAGCAATCTGGAGGTGTGCTACTTCTCAAGAAAAAAGTCAGGGATCTAATCTGGGAAGCCAAGTGATCCAGTTGTATGGCCAAAATCTGTATTCAGCGTCATGTGAGAAATTGTGCAGTCACAGGTAATCACACTCCTGTTCTGTCATTTCAGATGCCTTTCACTTTAGAGGCAATTATAGGATCTTCCTTCAATGTTTCCAAGTGGAATTATTTTTAATTCACTTGAATTTGGCAGACATTATATAATGACAGCATTACAGGGAGCTTTATATAGTCTTCCCTCCCTCCCTTTCCTTCCTTTCTTACTTACTTTTCTTTCCTTCCTTCTCTTCTTTCCTTCCTTACTTCTTTATTTATTAATTACAGGGTCTTGTTCTGTCACCCAGGCTGGAGTTGTCGTGGCACAATCATAGCTCACTTCAATCTTTTTTTTTTTTTTTTTTTTTGAGACAGAGTCTTGCTCTGTCGGCCAGGCTGGAGTGCAGTGGCACAATCTCAGCTCACTGCAACCTCTGTC